GAGTGATTAAGAGGAGAGAAAATTATTTATTACGAAGCAGCAATGCAAGGAGAAGGGGGCCAGTACCCAAATCTGACCCTTGAGTGGAGGTTGGGATACAGTTGTGTAAACTTCAGGAGAGGGGGTTATACATATTCATAAAAACTTTGGGAATTTGGGTGTGAATTAACTGAGGATTGGGTGAAGCTCCCTTCCCTCAGTTTAAAGGGACAGTCGATTATTAATGCAGTGAGCTTGCACTCCTGTCATCAGCTGATCGGGGCTTGGGCAGAGGAATGTCAGAGTCCAGCAACTTTCTTCCCCTTTGCCTCACTGTGCATGTCCTTGGGCCAAACTGAAAAACAACTTTAAGGAAACACATTAACATACCTATTCACCTCTTTCTAGGGGAATAACATAGAGAGGATGTGTGAATTGACCTTCAACTTATTTTGTTCTTAAAGAACTGAGTTATCCTGTTTACTTATCTGTCTCCAAGGAGGTAACAGACAGGTAACAGACAGGACAGGGCTGAACTTTGATTCTACTCAGCTTCAGTTACAGATTATCAGAGCACAAACTGGGGACCACTGCTGTGCTGTTTAATTGAACAGATTATCTGTTTATGTGGTTGGAAAAGTAAAATGACCAGTTGCTATCCAAAACAGTCATGAATCCTACTCTTTTTCTTTTCTTTTTTTTTTTTCCAGGTTTATCTCATTTTCCTTTAACTGCCTTTATTTTTTGGGGGGTTGTTCATTCTCTTCAAGGTCACTGTCATTTTGTCCCTCTCAGGAGCCAGCGCATAACTCATGACCTTCACCCTCATCATGGCTGCCAAGTGTTTCAATCCCCACTGTTACCAGTTTGTGATGAGCAGCTTTACATAGAAATCTTTACCGTTTTAAGATCATTCCATTCTGATTTGCCTACTTACTGGGCCAGAGGACATGGACACATTCTTCATCCATCTCGTTAGATTGTTTTCCAGAAGGGCTATAACACATCACACTAACACTCTCACACACACACACGCAACACTCACACTCAGCACTCACACCCTGGTCCCAGCAGCACCCAGAGAAACCGCTCCTGAGTCGCACTGGGCCAATGCTGGGAATTGCTAGGTATCACCGTGAAAAACACAACGCAAACCACACTGTTGATTGGAGACATGGGAAATGGTATCTCTGTGGGTTTGGTTCCATTTCTTTGACGGATAGTGAGGCCCTGGTTTTCCCACACATTTCCCCATGAGTTGACTTTCTTCTCCCCAGTGGGGCCTGCGCAGCTCCCCCCCCATCTGTGGCCTCTGTGGGCTCACTGTTCCATCCTCGCCCTTGGCCTAGCACATCCGCTACACTTGTGGTTTTGTTTTGATCTTTTGATTCTACGGAATTATTTATTATTTTTAGATTCAGGTTCAAAATTTTGCTTGTTTGTTTTACAGGGTCCAAACTTTTCCTTACCTTTGGATTTTTCTCTCACTTTTTAGTTTTATTACCTACAGATGTTTGGAAAATGTGACACTCCTTTGGGGCGATTACTAATCTGTGGTTTTGCAATTTTAGAATACAAAGTACCCACCCCACAGGCCTGCAGTTCCCATCGCCTTGGGCTCCGGAAGCTTCATGGTCAGCTGCCCCTCCCCCACCCTTTACAGTCCAAACTCAAGTGCCTACCCTGCACACCATTGCTTATGCAGCCCCCAGGTCTGGCTTGCTCTTCCCACCATGCCGGTTCTGTGACTCATTTCTGACCTCACCTCCTCCAGGAAGCCTGTCTGGCTTTGCCTCTTTCTGGCATTGCTGCTTTTCTGTATTCTCATGATGCCTCCTCCTAGTCTCTGTGTTATCAGTTACCATGAGCCAGGAGCCCCCGACAGCAGACAGCCCCCGATGACCAGCAAGGCTGTGGTTCAGAGCAATGACCCTGAGGCCCATGCTCAGGACTGGCCTGGGGTCCTTAGAGCCACGTGTCCCTGAGTGTTGTGCTGTTTGATCATCTATAAAATGGGCTAAAATCCCTGAGCACTCAGGAGGGGCTTGTAAATAGTATTAACTACCCTCCACATTCACTCAGTCCTGCTGGTCTAGCCTGCCACCTCCACGGGCTCCCTCTGGCCTGCTCGTCCACCAGCCAGGACTGCATCCAGGGACAGGCTGGACCCCAGGTCCCCAGTCTTGTCAGCAAGGCCGGGGAGAGAAAAGGCATTCTGGGCTGGCCTGACCTTCCCCCCTGCCTTGACTTGCTGGCTTGATGCCCCTTCCAAATCCCCCTGATCCTGGCTGTCTGCTGAGGACACCTTGGACGTGGCCCTAGGGCACAGGGTGACAGGTGACATATGAGTCGCCTGTCACATCTCCAGATTGTCCAGACCCGCCCACTCCTGCACCCAGATGCCCCACTTGGCTGAGTCCAGTGGTGGCCTGGGAGGTCCCAAAGGAGCTCTAGGAACGGAGCAGGTGGCAGGAGCGGGGACTGTCTCATGGAAGCAGCCACAAGAGTGGAACCCTTGGTGGACTTCACGTGTGTGCGTGACAACACAGAGGTCAATGCTGTGTGCTGTCCTCAGGCCCCTGCAGGCCCCAAGTGAACTGCTTGAGGGTTGTGTCTGCCTGTGTCCACCAGCGTTAGGTAGGTCCTTGGGCCCCTGGGAGCCTCTGAGCCACACCCCGTCCACTGTGGAGGGAGCACGGTGCCAGTTCTCTGAGTGCTCACCTATGCAGTTCCGCATCCAACTCCTCAGTGTACAACTGGGAAACTGAGGCCCGAAGAGATGCAGGGATAGACTCAGGATAGACGAAGCGGGCAGAGTGCTGATGAGAATGAATTCCAGCCTCCTAAGTTCTCCCATCTGGTAGCATAGTGGCTATGGCACTTGACTGCTAACCAGAAGGCTGGCAGTTCAAATTCACCAGCCACTCCTCAGAAGGAAGATGGGGCAATCTACTTCCGTAGTGATACTGCCTCGGAAACCCAAGGAGGGGTCGCTATGAGTCGGGTCCGACTCGACGGCAAACAACAACAACAACAAGTTCTCCCATAAGGTGCTCTGGTAGTGTAGTGACTCAGATATTTGACTGCTAACCAGAAGGTTGGAGGTTCAAACCCGTCAGCCACTCTGCAGAAGGAAGCCTGGGCAATCTACTTCCATAAAGATTTACCACCTCTGAAACCCAAAGTGGGGTCACTATGAGTCGGAATCACCTTGATGGCAGTGAATTTTTTTCTTTTTTAGCTCTCCCATGAAAGGGGTCTTGGTGGCACAGTGGTTAAGTGCTTGGCTGCTGAGAGGTGGATGGTATGAACCCATCTCCATGGGACAAAGATGTGGCAGCCTGCTTCTGTAAATATTGACAGACTTGGAAACCCTATGGGGAAGTTCTACTCTGTCCGACAGGGTCGCTATGAGTTGGAATGGATTCGACAGCAATAGATTTGATTTTCAGCCCTCCCATGGGATGTACTTTGAAGTAAGAGCCACAAAGATCCAGTGATCTCGACACTTGCACACACACGCACACACACTCTGACTCTATAGTCAGGAACCATGAAGGTAGGTACAGAGGAGCAGTAAGCACCATGGAGGTGACGGGAAAGAAAACTGAGGTTGAAGGCAGCTGTGCCATGGGGCAGCGGCATTGTGTTTCCTAGCAACATGCCCATGAGAACACAGCATGGAAAGGGGGAGAGACGCCAGACTGAAGAGCAGGGGCTTCCTCCGTGTTCTGCCTGGGCCAGGGCCGTCCCCAGAGGACAGGGCAGGGCTCCTGAAGTCACTATTCTGGGCACCAGGAACTAGGAGGCCCTCCCCCCCCGTGTGTTACCACGAGGCTACAGGAGAGACAGCCTCCGTCTCCTCCTCTATACATTGGGGTGTGTGGAGCGAGTGACCCAAGGGCTTCAGAGGCTTGGAGAAGTCTGTTGGCCTTAGGCCTTCACTGATGATCCAGTAGTCCAAACCCCTGGAAAATGCTTTCTTGTCCCTGGAGGTCCTTCTGAGAGAAGCTTGGGCCCTGGGGGAATTGGGGATCTGAGGAAGGACAGAATGGGGCAGAGCATTGGGCCACGAGTGTGGGGTTGAGGGTTGAGATCAGTCCTTGCTGGAACCTCGGGGTCCTTCTTCAGAAGTGAGGCCGGAATCCTTGCCCTGGCCGTGGTGAGGATGTGTCCAGGGAGAACTGACTGCACCAGGGCCCGTGGAGGCAAAGAGGAGGAGGAGGAGAGCCCTTCGAAGTCCCTTGCGTCACCCTGAACCTCTGGGAGGCCATGTTTGGTGGGTTTCCTGCAGGCTGTAGTGCTGGCTCCCGCCACCAGGGGGCAGCAGCTTCTTCTGCATGGCACTTTGCGGCAGCCGCTGGAGCCAGGGAAGAGTCACCCAGAGGCCACTCGCTGTCCCCCTGACTCAGCTCCTACTTGCACCTCTATTATTAGCATCCATCTCCACAGCCCGAGCTGGTCAGAGGAGGACGAGGGACCTCTGAGATCACATCATTCATTCAGCAAACACGCCCTGAGTCCTCACCCTGAGTGTTACTAATAACCAAGGTGGTCCCTGTGACTCGGAGGCAGACGTCCGTCCAGAGAGGAGGGTAGAATGGCAGCCCATGTGGCTGGAGGGAGATGAGGAGATGAGGGGAGAGAGGGAGATGGGGACAGACCCCATGGCCTGTTTCTGCCTCCTGTTGTTTGGTGACGTTACCCCAAGATCCAGCAGATGAAAGCGGTGCATCTTTCTCTGTTTCTGTGGACCAGCAATCAGGGCACAGCCTCACAGGATGCCGCTGCCCCGAGACCTGTCGGGAGGCTGAGGCAGCCATCTTAGCTGAGGCTCAACCAGGGGAGGGTCTGCTTCCAAGCTCATGTCTGATCGTCAGGATTTGGTTTCTCATGAGCTGTTGGGCCGAGGGCTTTAGTTCCAGCTGGTCAGGCCCTCCCTGGTTCTTTGCCGTGTGGGCTTCTCCAT